TCCGTCGAATTACATTGCTTGCTACCATAAATTAAATGGCCAATACGAATTATATTGATTCCACGCAATTTGGTACAAACGAATTCAAGAATAATTAATATTGCAAACTAATTTATATATATAATTATTGTAACATTGTCCAATGTTTCAAGGTGGGCGGCAATGTTTAAGTTAGAATTGCAAATTGCCAAACGATCCAGAGAGCCTACGTTCGCTTAGTACGGACCGTAGAGAGATGCATTCTTGGGCTAAAAGGTTGCCTGCTACTTCCCCTTGGAGCCTACGTTCGCTTGGCTCGGACCGTAGGGAGAAAGCCTTCCTAGTCTGAAGATTTTCCCTACAACTCTCCTTGGGGCCTACGTTCGCACAGCTCGGACCGTAGGCAGCTTTTCCAAGTCATTTCTCTACAACTCTCTCTGGGTACTCTCTCAGCCCGTGTTGCTGTTAGAGATTTCCTGGAAGCATCGGTGCTTCCAGCCACCTCGATGCATTGCGACTTGGCATTCATAGTAACTCTCGTTTTAACTTCGGAGCTCACCGCATCACAAAGGTAATCTGTCAACTCGGGTTGACCATTTTCCAAAATCCTCAATAAACGGATATTTATTATTTATATTTAATACTAATACACCTTGGTTTTATTTATTTTTTATCTTTTTATTTCTATACGGTCACGGTTTGTATGCCTGAGAGAACATCAACGTCTCATACGGAGAGAAACAAGGTTGTTACGCTGGCTATTATGGGATTAAACTAACACGACTACGATTTGCGAGAAAAAAAGTAAACATAAAAGAATGACCAATAGGAATAGGATTTTTAAAATAAAAAATCTAAAAAAAATTTTAAAATAATTCCATTTTTTATTGATTTATATTAAAATTAATTTTTTTTATAAAATTTTAAAGAATTTTTGAAAAAAATATTCAAATTTGTTTTATTAGTTTATTAATTTATACATTTTTTTAATTAAAAAAAATTTAAGATTTTTTAAGAAATATAAATTTTTTATTAATTTATATATTATTTTATTAAAATTAAATTAAATATAAATTTGTAATAATTTTAAACGAATTAATTAAAATAAATTAAAAAATTTAATAAATAAATATAAATTAAATTGAGTTAAAATAAAAAAAAAAATAATAAATTCAATTAAATTAAAATTATGGATTTTTTATTTTTTTGAAGAATTTTTTAAACATATTCAATTTTGTTATTGATTTATATTGATTTTTTTTAATTAAACAACTATTTTTTTAATTAAAAAATGTTTAAGAATTTTTAATAAATTAAATATTATTTTATCAAAATTAAACTAATTAAATATAAATTATTAATTAATTTTAAATTAATAATTAAAATTAATTAAAGAATTAAAAAAATAATAAATAAATATAAATTATTATAAATTAAATTAAAAAAATAATAACAGATGAAATTAAAATTATATATTTTTTGATTTTTTTGTTAATTAAAAAAAATTTTGAAGAATTTAAAAAAAAATATTCAGTTTTTTTATTAATTTATACAATTTTTTTAAATTAAACAACTGGTTTTTTTAATTAAAAAATGGTTAATATTCATTTTTTTAATTTAAATTTTATTTTATTAAAATAAAATTAAATAAATATAAATTGTTAATTAATTTTAAATTAATAATTAAAATTAATTAATTATATAATTTTAAACTAATAATTAAAATTAATTAAAGAATTAAAAAATAATTACAAATATATTAAAAAATATTCAATATTTTTTATTAATTTAAATATTATTATGTTATTAAATATTTTTAATTTTAAATTAATAATTAATTAATTAATTGATTTTAATTTAATAATTAAAATTAATTAAAGGATTAAAAAAAAAATTAATAAATATTCAATATTTTTATTAATTTAAATATTATTTTATTAAAATTAAATTAAATAAATATAAATTATTACTTAAGTTTAAATTAATAATTAAAATTAATTAATTAATTAAGTTTAAATTAATAATTAAAATTAATTCAAGAATTAAAAAAATAATTAAAAAATAATTAATAAATATAAATTATTATAAATTAAATTAAATAAATAAATGATCAATAAAAGTAAATTAAAATCATGGATTTTTTTATTTTTTGTTAATTAAAAAATTTTGAAGAATTAAAAAAATATTCAGTTTTTTTTATTAAAAAAATAATATAAATTTAATATTTTTAATTAACCAACTAATTTCTAACATTTCACTTTGCTTTCACATAACTTTAAAAAATCTACAATGGGAAATTTATTTTTGAAATTTAAAAATAATTTTTCAAAATTAAAAGAAAATGTTATTGTTATTTAAAATTCTTTTTAATATCTTTAAACATTTTTGAAGAATTTTTAAAAAATATACAATTTTTTTATTAATTAATTAATTATTTTTTGGTTTTATCTAATTTTAAAAATCCACAAAGGAAATCTCTATGCTATTGTTGAATATTAAAAACAATTTTTGAATATTTATTGAAATATTAGAAGAAAATGTTATTAACATTTAAAGTCATTATTAATATTCTAAAATTCTCAAAAATTCCCCATTTTCACAATACTTTGCTTCGAATTTCTCATTGAAATTCATTGAGAATATAAAACCAACCTTTGGGGCGTGATCTGTATTTTTCTAATCTAATATTCAAATTTCGTTTCACATATTCGATGATTTGACATATTTATGTTTTTGTTTTTAATTCAAAAATTATTGATTTCTGAGAAATCTTCAAAAACCCCCAAGAAACAACTTTTCAAACGACCTTCAGATTGCCGGTGTGGGGGTTTTTGCTAAACCTGAGTGGAATATTGAAATTAAAAAATGGCACATTTGTTTTAAACTTTATTATTATTTTTTTGAAATATTTTAACGAAGAAAAAAAATTGTCTAAAGAAAAACAGTTGTAAACAAAACAATAAAAGCCGGCCATAAACAAACACCACTAATTGCTGCCATAAAATGTAAATGCGTTTTGCTTCGATTTTTTGTTTTTGCTTTTCTCATCAACTAAACGAAAAGTTAATTGTCGATTTTAATGTCAACGAAATAAAAAACGGAAGTCATCAATGATTGTCAATAGCCGATAGCCGGCAATTGTTGGCTAGAAAATATTTTTTGGGCACTAAGGTTATTTCGGCTGGCGGGTGTTTAGAATTTGTAATTAGAATTAACTCTTCCTATTGTTGTTAGTGTTTTTTATTTATTATAGAAAATTTGAAATACGATTTTATTTGGGTTATGGGTGTTCTACAAATTATTTGACAAAAATGGCAGTTAGAAATCAGGGCTACTTTAAAGGGGCAAGGTTGAAAAAAATGAAAAATATTAGTCAATATTAAAAAATCATCGATAACGATTTTTTTTGAAAAATATTGGGAAACAAAATTTTTCGCAAAAATAAAAAAAATCGATAAATTTGTTTTTGGAAAAAATTATCGATAAAAATTTATTTTTTTTAAAATATCGATAAATATTTTTTTGAAAAGAAAAATATCGATATATAGAAAAAAGTTATCGATAAAAATTTTAAAAAATATCGATATTTTTTTTAAATTATCGTTAAAAATGTTTTGAAAAAAATTATCGATAAATGTTAGTTTATAAAAAAATTATCGATAATATATTTTCAATAAAAATTAATTATCGATAAAAATTTAAAATAAATTACCAATAAATTGTTTTTTGAAAAAAAAATATCAATATATTTAAAAAAAAATATTGATAAAATTTTTTTTGAAAAATATAAATAAATAAATTGATAAATTTAACATTTTTTTAAATTAAAATTATCGATAAAAAATTTTTTGAATGAAAGATATCGATAAACATTTTAGTTTATAAAAAAATTATCGATAATATATTTTCAATAAAAATTAATTATCGATAAAAATTTAAAATAAATATCAATAAATTGTTTTTAAAAAAAAAAAATATCAATAATTTTTTTTTGAAAAAAATATAGATAATTTTTTTTTTTGAAAAAATGTAATAAAAATATTGGTCAATATTAAAAAATCATCGATAACGATTTTTTCTTTGAAAAATTAAAGAAAACAACATTTTTTGCAAAAATAAAAAAAATCGATAACATTTTTTTTGAAAAAAAAAAATAAAATAACGATAAATATTTTTTGAAAAAAGTATAGATAAATTTTTTTTGAAAAAATTATCGATAACTTTTTTAATTAAAATTATCGATAACATTTTTTTGAAGAAAAAAATTATTGATAAAAATTTTAGTTTTTAAAAGAAAATTATCGATAATATATTTACAATAAAAATTAATTATCGATAAAAATTTAAAATAAATTATCGATACAATTTTTTTTGAAAAAAATATCAATTTTTCTTTTTTGAAAAATATATCGATAACAATTTTTTTGAAAAAAAAAATTATAGATAATTTTTTTTTGTATAAAATTATCGATAAAAAATTTTAGTTAAAAAAAATTATTAAAAATATTAAAAAAAAAATTTTTTTTTTTGGAAAAAAATATGGATAATTTTTTTTTTTAAATATCAATAAATATTTTTTTAAAAAAATGTATCGATAACATTTTTTTTATTAAAATGATCGATAAACATTTTTTAAAAAAATAATAATGATAAAAATTTTAGTTTATAAAAAAATTATCGATAATATATTTTCAATAAAAATTAATTATATATAAAAATTTAAAATAAATTATTGATAATTTTTTTTTTTTTTTTTGAAAAAAATATAAATTTTTTTCCATAAAAAAATTATCGAAAATATATTATCCCTTCCTCTTCCCGCATTTTCTAGTAACAAAAAATATCAATAATTATTTTTATTCAAAAAAATTATCTATAATTTTTTTTTGAATGACATTACCGATAAAAATTTTTTAATACAATTATCGATAATTTTTTTTTAAATTATCGATAACAAAATTTTAGTTTATAAAAAAAATCATCGATACTATATTTTCCCTTCCTCTTCTCGCATTTTCTAGTAACAAAAACCCACCATGACTTCTCCATCCACCACCAAGGAGGTAGTTGTGGCCCCGCCCGTGGAACCCCACAATCTGCGCAAGGACAAAAGTTTATGGCGTGACTTGACTTCGTATTGGATATTGGGTCTCTGCAACAACTATGGCTATGTTGTGATGTTGAGTGCGGCCCATGATATTATTGGGCAATTTCATGAGGTAAGTAATGGAAACTGGAAGCACTAATTATTTTAAAATATAAAATTAATTGCACACTTTTAGGATGTCCCATCGAATGATGATACTGGTGGCAAAGGACGAGAATGTCACATTGTCTCAACGGGAGCTATTCTCTTGGCCGACATCCTACCCTCGTTGTTTGTGAAAATCATAATGCCCTTCTTTCCGTTTTGGGTGCAGTAAGTCCGAAGAAAATGGCGCCCAAATTGGATTTAAAAAAATAAATATTTTTAACATTCCAGTTTTCGTATTGCCTTGGCTGTGCTGTTTTCTGCTGCCGGTTTCCTTTTGGTTGGCTTTGCCTCGGCCGAATGGATGGCCTTGTTTGGTGTCATTATAACTTCAGCCAGTTCGGGTATTGGAGAGACAACATTCTTGGCGTATTCATCGAATTTTAATAAGTGAGTAGAAATGGGACAGAATTTTCAATTACACAATGTTCGATAACACCTGTTTTAAAAGGAAAATTTTATTTTCTACACAAAAGTTGATCGATAAGAAGATTTTCGAGAGAAAACCAGTTCGATAACCATAATTTTTACGTGAAACTTTTCCGATAACAATACGAAAGTTGATCGATAACAACATTGTATATACAAACCCAGTTCGATAACAACATTTTGCACAAAAAAGTGGATCGATAGAAACTTTTTTATACAAACAATTGATCGATAACGACATCTTCTACAAAATACCATTTCGATAACAACATTTTCTATTGAAAAATATATCGATAACAATATTTTCTGTAGAAAAGTCAATCGATAACAACATTTTCTATAAAAAAATTCAATCGATAACAACATTTTCTGCACAAAAGTTGATCGATGAAAACATTTTCTATAGAAAACTAATTCGATAACAACATTTTCTAAAGAAAACTTATTCGATAACAACATTTTCTATAGAAAAATGGGTCGATAACAACATTTTCTAAAGAAAAATGGGTCGATAACAACATTTTCTATAGAAAAATGGGTCGATAACAACATTTTCTATAGAAAAGTTGTCCGATAACAACATTTTCTATAGAAAAGTTGTCCGATAACACAATTTTCTATAGAAAAGTTGCCCGATAACAACATTTTCTATAGAAAAGTTGTTCGATAACAACATTTTCTATAGAAAAGTTGTTCGATAACAACATTTTCTATAGAAAAGGTGTTCGAAAACAACATTTTCTCTAGAAAACTGGTTCGATAACAACATTTTCTATAGAAAAGTAGCCCGATAACAACATTTTCTATAGAAAAGTTGTCCGATAACAATATTTTCTATTGAAAAGTTGTCCGATATCAACATTTTTTATAGAAAAGTTGCCCGATGTGTTCGATAACAACATTTTCTATAGAAAAGTGTTTCCATAACACAATTTTCTATAGAAAAGTTGCCCGATAACAACATTTTCTATAGAAAAGTTGTTCGATAACAACATTTTCTATAGAAAAGTTGTTCGATAACAACATTTTCTATAGAAAAGGTGTTCGAAAACAACATTTTCTCTAGAAAACTGGTTCGATAACAACATTTTCTATAGAAAAGTAGCCCGATAACAACATTTTCTATAGAAAAGTTGTCCGATAACAATATTTTCTATTGAAAAGTTGTCCGATATCAACATTTTTTATAGAAAAGTTGCCCGATGTGTTCGATAACAACATTTTCTATAGAAAAGTGTTTCCATAACAAAATTTTCTATAGAAAAGTCGTCCGATAACAACATTTTCTATAGAAAAGTTGTCCGATAACAACATTTTCTATAGAAAAGTTGTCCGATAACAACATTTTCTATAGAAAAGTTGTCCGATATCAACATTTTCTATAGAAAAGTTGTCCGATAACAACATTTTCTATAGAAAAGTTGTCCGATAACAACATTTTCGATAGAAAAGTTGTCCGATAAGAAGATTTTCTGTAGAAGACTTGTTCGATAACAACATTTTCTATAGAAAAGTTGTCCGATATCAAAATTTTCTATAGAAAAGTTGTTCGATAACAATATTTTCTATAGAAAAGTTGTCCGATAGCAATATTTTCTATAGAAAAGTTGTCCGATAGCAATATTTTCTAGAGAAAAGTTGTTCGATAACAGCATTTTCTATAGAAAAGTTTGTCGATAGCATCATTTCGTAGAGAAAAGTTATTCGATAACATATTTTTCTCTAGAAAAGTTGTTCGATAACAACATTTTCTGTAAGAAACGTGTTCGATAACATCATTTTTTATAGAAAAATCGATCGATAATAACATATTCCATAGAAATAATGTTCGATAACAACATTTTCTATAGAAAAGTTGTTCGATATCCACATTTCCAGTGAAATTTTTTTCGATAACAAAGTTTTCTATGCAAAATATTTCCGATAACATGTTTTCGATAACACCTTCTTTAATTATGAAACATCTAAAATTAACATATTAACCCTCCTTTCCCCTTCTCTCTTCCAGAAATGTTGTTTCCACCTGGTCCTCAGGTACGGGTGGTGCCGGTGTCATTGGTTCTTTATCCTATGCCACGCTACGCTCCCTAAACGTCAGTCCCCGTGACACGATGTTAATTATGTTGGTATTCCCCTTCATTGAAGCCTTGGCCTTTTGGGTTCTGTTGCGCAAGCCCACCGCAGTGTTGCCCGTCACCAATGTCGAATCGACCGAAGAACTCATTGTCGATGATCGTCCGTTGGAGGGTTTCAAGGAAAAACTGATTTACATCAAGCAGCTGGTGAAATATATGGTGCCCTTGGCCTTGGTCTACTTCTTTGAGTATTTCATAAATCAGGGATTGGTGAGTTGATTGAAATTATTTTCGAAATAGTTTTGAAATTAATTTTGAATTTTTCAATTTTTACAGTTCGAATTGGTCTACTTCCAAGACACCTTCCTGGACAAGGCAGCCCAATATCGTTGGCTGAATGTGGACTATCAAATTGGTGTTTTCATATCCCGTTCCTCGGTCAATGTCTTCCAGCTGAACAAGATTTGGCTAATGTCCGTCTTCCAGTTTGTCAATGTGGTGTACTTCCTGACGGAGGTCATTTATTTCTATACGCCCAGTATTTGGATAACATTTGTCATTGTGCTGTGGGAAGGTTTGCTGGGTGGTGGTGCTTATGTCAATACCTTCTATAGAATGTCGAAGGAGATACCTCCGGGCCGTCGTCAATTTGCCATGGCCATGGTGGTGCAGTCGGATTCCTATGGCATTGCCTTGGCCGGTTTCCTTTCGATACCCGTGCACAATGCCATCTGTTCCCTGCCGGCAGCAGTGAGAAGTTTGACGTGGTAACCTAGTTTCTCTCCCCTCTCTCTCCCTCTCTCTCTCTCGATCTTTCTTTCTGAGTGGGAGTTATGATCCCTGAAAATAGTCAATAATTTTAAATCGATTTTAAGTCTTCCACATCTTGTTTTTTTGTTGTATTACGCACCACCACAATTCTGTGTAGAAGTATTTTTTGTTGTATTTTTTTTGTTTAGTTATTAGTTAATGTACAAAAAAGAATTTAAGTTTTGAATTTAGTAGTTGTTTAAGTATCGAAAGCATTATTTTAATTATTATTATCGAGATTAAGGTATCTAAAATTATTCCTAGAGAGAATAGTGCGAAAAAGACAAGTTAAATATACGATAAATATTATTAAAGAAAAAAAAATATTTTTTTTTGAAAAAAAAAAAAAAATATAGAAATTAAAAACCATTTAAAAAGTATCAGTCGATTTTGCCAACAGATGTATACCCTCAGCCTATGTTCGATTATTTAACTTTATTTTGACCTCAGTTATGAGTATTCAAATTGTTGACGATTTTGTGGGGAAGGTACCAGAAGGAAGGGTCCGATCTCTACCATATTTACAACTGATCTTGTGTTGAGGGAAATACTGAGATGTACCAAATCTGAATGGAATCGGATGTTAATTTCACTTTTTATAAGGTTCATGGATATTCAAAATTTTGACCCTTTTGTGGGGGAGGTACCAGAAGGAGTGGACCGATATATTCCATCTTCACAGCAGATCTTGTATTAGTAGAAATAATGATATGTGTGAAATTTGAAGAGAGTTGGATGCTTATTTCGGATTTGATAAACGTTTTGGTTATTCGAAATTTTGACCCTTTGTGGGGGAGGTACCAGAAGTAATAGTCCGATCTCCACCATCTTTACAACAGATCCTGTGTTGATGTAAATATTGAGATGTGCCAAGTTTGAATGAAATCGGAGGTTAATTTCGCGTTTTATGAGCTTCATGGATATTCAAAATTTTGACCCCTTTGTGGGGGAGGTACCAGAAGGAGTCGTCCGATCTCTACCATATTTTCAACAGATCTTGTGTTGAGGGAAATATTGAGATGTGCCGAATGGATGGAATCGGATGTTATTTTCGCGATTTATGAGCTTCTTAGATATTCAAAATTTTAACACTTTTGTGGGGGAGGTACCAAAAGGAATGGACCGATATATTCCATCTTCACACCAGACTTTGTGTTAGTAAAAGTAATGACACGTGTGAAATTTGAAGAGAATCGGATGCTTATTTCGGATTTTATAATCGTTTTGGTTATTCAAAATTTTGACCCTTTTGTGAGGGAGGTACCAGAGGGAATGGTCCGATCTCTACCACCTTCACAGCATATTTTGTGTTGATGGAAATATTGAGATGTACCAAGTCTGAATGGAATCGGATGTGAGTTTCTCGTTCTATGAGCTTCGTGGGTATTCAAAATTTTGACCCTTTTGTGGGGGAGGTACCAGAAGGAGTGGGCCGATACATACCATCTTCACTCCAGATCTTGTGTTAGTAGAAATAATTGGATGTGGGAAATATGAAGAGAATCGGATGCTTATTTCGGATTTTATTATCGTTTTGGTTATTCAAAATTTTGACCCCTTTGTGGGGGAGGTACCAGAAGGAATGGTCCAATCTCTACCATCTTTACAACAGATCTTGTGTTGAGGGAAATATTGAGATGTACCAAGTCTGAATGAAATCGGATGTTAATTTCGAGATTTATGAGCTTCATAGATATTCAAAAATTTAACGCTTTTATGGGGGAGGTACCAGCAGGAGTGGACCGATATATCCCATCTTCACACCAGATCTTGGGTTAATAGAAATTATGGGATATCTGTAATTTGAAGACAATCGGACTCATACATCACATTTTATAAGAGCTATAATTATTCGAAATTTTGACCCTTTTGTGGGGAAGGTACCAGAATAAATGGTCCGATCTCTACCATCTTTACAACAGATCTTGTGTTGAGGGAAATATTGAGATGTACCAAGTCTGAATGAAAACGGATGATAATTTCGGGTTTTATAAGCTTCATAGATATTCGGAATTTTAACACTTTTGTGGGGGAGGTACCAGAAGGAGTGGACCGATATATTCCATCTTCACAGCAGATCTTGTGTTAGTAAAAATAATGGTATGTGTAAAATATGAAGAGAAACGGATGAGTATTTCGAATTTTATAATCGTTTTGGTTATTCAAAATTTTGAACCTTTTGTGGGGAAGGTACCAATTGGAATTCTCCGATCTCTACCATATTCACATCATATTTTATGTTCATGGAAATATTGAGATGTGTCAAGTTTGAATGAAATCGGTTGTTAATTTCGTGTTTTATGAGCTTCGTGGATATTCAAAATTTTGAACCTCTTGTGGGGGAGGTACCAGAAGGAGTGGGCCGATACATACCATCTTCACTCCAGATCTTGGATTAATAAAAATAATGGGATGTGTGAAATTTGAAGACAATCGGACTCTTACATCACATTTTATAAGAGTTATAAATATTCCAAATTTTAACCCTTTGTGGGGGAGGTACCAGAAGAACTCGTCCGATCTCTACCATCTTTACAACCAATCTAGTGTTGATGAAAATATTGAGATGTGCCAAGTCTGAATGGAATCGGATGTTAATTTTTGCGTTTTATGAGCTTCATGGATATTCGGAATTTTGACACTTTTGTGGGGGAGGTACCAGAAGGAGTGGACCGATATATTCCATCTTCACAGCATATCTTGTATTAGTGGAAATAATGACATGTGTGAAGTTTGAATAGAGTTGGATGCTTATATCGGATTTTATAATCGTTTTGGTTATTCAAAATTTTGACCGCTTTGTGGGGAAGGTACCAGAAGGAATGGTCCGATTTCTACCAACTTTACAGCAAATCTCGTGTCTATGAAAATATTGAGATGCGCCAAGTTTAAATGGAATCGGATGAACATTTGGCGTTTTATGAGCTTCATGGATATTCAAAATTTTGACCCTTTTGTGGGGGAGGTACCAGAAGGAGTGGACCGATATATCTAATCTTCACACCAGACCTTGGGTTAATAAAAATATTGTAATGTGTGAAATTTGAAGACAATCGGACCCTTACATTAAATTTTAAAAGAGTTATGATTATTCCAAATTTTGACCCTTTGTGTGGGAGGTACTTGATGGAGTCTACCGATATTGTTCATTTTCTCAACTGGCCTAGCACTGATGCATATATTAAGATTCGCAAAGTTGGAGCAAAATCGGATTATCCTTTCTCTTTCTGTGCAAAAAAGTATTGTCTTTGAAAATATTGACATTTAGTGTGGGAGGTACTGGAAGTAGTGGATCGATATTGCCCATCTCCAAACTCGATCTAAGTTTGATAAAAATATTACGATGCACCAAGTTTGGAGCAAATCGAATACTCCCTTCGAGAGTTATCGTGCGCAGCAGCCAGACATATGGATGGACGGACATCGCTAGATCGACTCAAAATATCCTGAAATGGATTTGTTCCAAAGAGACCTGGGGTCTAAAATCGTTATTTCTATGATTTCTATGATATTTTGGCCTTATCGAATGATATATACCCTCTCCATATGGCTAGGCTGAGGATATAAAAAAATGGATTGAAAATTGTCCAATATTCCGCTTTTCCTACCACTATTGCTCTGATGCAGAACCTGCCAGAATCGACTATTTTTGCAATTTTTTTCCGATGCCCAAAAATGGAAAAGACCAAATATTGGCTGAAAAGTCATTTATTGCCATCTCTTGTTAAATGTCTGAGAAATGTGGGCAACTTTCAATTATTGGCGCCTAAGAGTATGCTTTGGTATTTGCACACCATTTAATAGAAAGTCAGTGGCTTTTGCTGTTACCTTTCGCTGCTTTAATTTACACCCATCCATCCATTTGTTGACAATGCTGGTCAATGGCAAATGCAGGCTAAATAAATATTTATCAGAAATAACTGTAGTTTGTTAAATAATTTATAAAAAATGATTAACATTTATGGGAAATGATTAAAAAATATTCCATTCAGTTGCTGTATTGCAGCCGTAGCTATAAGTCAATGAGAGAGAGAGACAGGTTAAATGTGGTTATTATTACTTTTATTGTTGGCTTTTTCCCTGAGGGCCATGTCCGCTAGGGTCCAGGAGGAGGATTCATCGGCTGTTCCACCAAATATTATCATAATTTTGGCTGATGATTTGGTAGGCTTGGCAAAAGGAAAATCTCTATTTTTCAAAAAAAAAAAAAAAAAAAAAAATTTTCTGAGGTACGAATATTTTTAAAATTACCAAATATTTTCACAAATCCCTCCAGGGTTTTGATGATGTCAGCTTTCGCGGCAACAATGTATTTTGACACCCAACATCGATGCCTTGGCCTATCATGGCAAGATATTGCAACGGCACTATGCCCCAGCCATGTGTACACCATCAAGGGCGGCCTTGCTGACGGGATTATATCCCATACATACGGGTAAGGAGGCAGAGGGATTCTACTGACTAAAAACATGATTAAAACCTACAAATTCCTCTATCCCCCTCAGGAAGCCAACATTTTGTGCTCATCAACGAGGAACCCTGGGGAATTTTGAAAAATCACACCACCATGGCGGGGGTATTTCAGGCGCATGGTTATTCCACAAATTTGGTGGGTAAATGGCATTTGGGCATGGGTCGCAAAGAGTATACGCCCACCTTCAACGGGTTCGATCAACACTATGGCTATTGGGGAGCCTTTGTAGACTACTACAGGAAAATGAGTAAAATGCCGGTAAGTTTTGAATTTTGGGATTTTTTACATTTGGTTGTAATGTCTTTACTTCCAAGACCAATTTCAGTTTGGGTTATGATTTTCAAAGGAATATGGATTTGGAATGTCCCCCCGAGGGTTCATATGTAACCGATTTGCTAACCCAGGAGGCAGAGGATATTATTTTGAGAAATTCCGGTACAAAGCCTTTATTTTTGCTGGTCTCCCATTTGGCCACCCATGCCGGCAATGATGATAATCCCTTGCAGGCTCCCTTGGAGGAGATTGAGAAGTTTTCCTATATTTCGGATGTGAAGAGGAGAACCTATGCAGGTGAGGATACAAATTTTCATTTTGAGAGAAGTCTTCCATAAAAGACGGCCTCAGATGAGGTCTTCCATAAAAGACGGCCTTAGATCTGGTCTTTTATAAAAGACGGCCTCAGATGAGGTCTTCCATAAAAGACAACCTCAGATGAAGTCTTCCATAAAAGGAGGCTGCAGATGAGGTCTTCCATAAAAGACGGCCTCAGATGAGGTCTTTCATAAAAGACGGCATCGGATGAGTTCTTCCATAAAAAACGGCCTCAGAT